AGAGAATTTTTCTTCTGTGTTGGTATCTGGTAGCTGCACTCCTCCAGCTAACAGCTTGCACTGTACGGGGAATATAATCCATGCCCATCTGGCTTTTATTTATTCATGATGGGCCTGATCCTGCGACGTGCTGTTGGGAGGAGCTGAGCCTTGCTGACTCCATTTCCCCCCCTGCAAAAACACGGGGTCTCCGTACCTACTTTCATCTGGTAGGAACATATCCAGGGCAAATTAATATGAAGAGGGATGTGTACCTTTGTTTTTTACAGTGCTGTAAAAGTGGAGTTATTAAGAAATCAGCCTGTAATTGCGCTCTTAATGATTCTTACTCTTCTGCACTCATTCAAAGAGAGTCATCTCTATTGTGTCAGGTATAAAAAGAGCAGCTTCATTGACATAGTTTATGACTTTATTAAAACCAAGGATTTTATATTAATAACTATCGGCTCCTCAGCTATATTTCCCTAGTGAAGGAAATGTGTGTATTGGTGTAGGTCCAAGGCAATTTGTAAACACAGAGTATTAAAAGGCTCAACAATTCTAAAAAGTTTTAATTGGAAACTCAACAAATTGCTTTGCAACATCTTAATGCTTCAATATGGAGCTCTCAGATAATGAGGAGCTAATTAAGGGGCCAGGATTCATTTTTTTATGATAACTGTCTCCATATGGGCTCTGCATTCGGTGCTTGCAGAACTAATGAAGGTCAGAGAAGTAACAGCGAAGGAAGAAAGGAAAATTTTTAGCTCTCAGTGTTGTGACGATGCTAAGCAACAGTCAGTATTTCTGCCTGGGTTTTAGGCCAGGTGCTGGGCGAGCTTCATTTAATTCAACGGGACAGTTTGTAAGCGCTATCGCAGCTCTGAGCTGCATTTCTCAGTCCGCCGCTGCTCCCCATGGGCTTTGCCAGCGGTGGGGGAAGGCTGAGCTGCGTGTCCCTGTGTCAGCCCCGAAAGCCAGGCTCTCCCCCGCACACAAACCCAGTTACACACCATGGCCTGGAGAACGACAGCAGTATCGGGGCGAGGAGGTGCAGGGAACTGCTTTACCTATGGCCTGAGCTGGCCGGATGCGCAGCCGGGCTGTCGGGAGGGACGTAGCTCCGTTCGTGTCCTACCATGCCCAAAAGCAGGACAGGCATCCTCTGGGGTGGGCAGGAGAGCTCCAGGGATGGGGGTCTCAGCGGAAGGGATGGAAAAGGACGGTGGCTTGGTGAACTGCAAGGATGAGAGCAAACCCCATCAGCCACCTCGTTCATCCCACGGCGGGTATGAACCAGCACCAGTTCAGCCGACTCAAAGGATGAAAGACCGCAATGTTGTGCAAAATTAAATCTGTCCGGTGACTTGCTCAGCTACGGAGCTGGGACTCGGCACGGCTGATGGCACTGGGAGCAGAGCTGGGCTCTGCATCAAACCCAAACCCTCACAAATATCTTGTATAGTGCCTTTGAATTAATCCTTTGTAAAATATTAACAACACACAAACACACATACAAAATTATGGTCAGATGCTTCTCTGAAGTAGCTCGCTGACTCCCATGACTAAATTTGGACCAGCAAGCCTCGTGCACCAAATAATTAAGTCATAGGCTATAGAAAGCAATCCTCTGGGACGTACTTGTCTTTGAATGGCTCATCCACTTGAAAAGTAATACATACCATTAAGTATATGACCATATGGCATCCATTTATAGAATATTGCACTACAGGCAAATAGGACAAAGGTACACCCCTTAAAGCACTTTTCTCATCTCATTAACTTTGGGTACATGTTACAGAAAAGCTTCTCTGTTGTGTTCAAGGACATTTTGTGCTGTTGAGTCTTGTCTTAAACGAACTGCACTAGGAAAATTAGAATCTAAATGTAGCTGTGCCCTAAAGCAAACAGCATTATTTTGCCTTTCTGTAATTCAATTTATTTTTGCAGATCAATGTTTTGAAGCAAACGTGTTCTTTTGTCCTCAAATCTTGCCTAATGACAGCGCTGACTTTGGGTAATTTGGCACACGGCAGCGCTTCGGTTGTGGCAGCGTGCCTGGCCAGGGTGCTGGCAGGTTCAGGTGGTGGCTTGCCATGTGCTCTGGTCTACCTGAAACGTTGCCCCAAAATCGCCCAGATCGGCTGGGACAATTCCATCATCACCTACAGAGGTCTCTGAGAGGAACCGTCTGGTGCTCAGGGCAATTAGCACAGCTCCGTGGCGGGCGGGCGGGTTCTAATGCTTGGGGAAAACTGCACTTTTAGAAGACTCTAGTGTCCGAATTTGTGAAAATATTTAGTTTATAGCCATCTATGGGATGTGGGTGTCAAGGTCTCAGTGTTTTTGAGCTCGCCAGGTGCGGGGATGAGGAGGAGTGAGACCTGAGCACTTGACCTAAGCTGCCCAACAGGGTTATTTCATATAATGAATGGCACATTCAATATAAATTAGAAAGTTTGCTGCAAAGTTCTCTTTCCTTAATGGCTGTGACGCTGATAACTGCTTGCCCCGGTGCCGGAGCCCTGAGCCCTTCCCTTCCTCCAGAAGCCGCAGAACTGTGTCTCACATTTGCTGTCCCCTGCTGGGAGTGCACAGCTTCTACGGATAGAATGGGCTGAGGGTAATCCTTGTATATTTTATATTGGTATCGGGATCAACATTGGTTCTTTAGTATTATTAATGTTACTTATTTAATCTTATTCTATTAAGCCTGTTTATATTTCAACCCTCGAGTTTCCTTGTTTTTCATCAGGTGATAGTTTCCTTGTTTTTCATCAGGTGATAGAATAATTGTCTTAAAAACAATAAATTGTTGTGGGTTCTTCAAACCGTAACAGTATGCAAAGCCCAGCTGCCGGGACAATAATCTGCACAGAAAAGCAACTCAGCGTGGAGTACAGCTGACAACAGCCATGATTCAAAACTACGGCAGGATGCGCGGGAGAATCACGCCGGTGCGCTGCGGGAGCTGTGCAGCGCGCGGGGGCACTCGGCTGCAGGAGCCCGTCCCCTCCTGTAGGCATCAGCATCCGACCCACTGATTGCAGCCGTCGCGGGATCCACCTCTAAATCTTATAAAAAACAACGCGCTCCCCTTAAATGAATTCGCACGGAAGAGATGCATTAATTAAATAGAAACGACTGCAGGTGCTTAGCAGCGTTCTGGCTTAACAGATTTCTCTCGTGCATTGAAGATCAATACTGTTGCCAGTTACACCATGGGTGCCCAGCCCCCTTTTTTAGCTCCTCAGAGGGAAACCCACTGCTAAATATCAAAGATCTCCACAAACCTGGCGGTCCAGAGCCCTGGAAATACGGTGTGTAGCACAGAAACGAGTCCTCAGAGAGCTGTCCCCATTCTGGATACTGCCAGCGTTCCAGTGCTGACACAGGGCAGCGTCTCAAACCCGTGCAACTGGCTCAGGCATCTACATGTGGAGGATTGTTCATTGCTTGCGGTTTAATCCAGCTTTGGGAAACCACATTACACTGTTTTTTTTCTTTCCCGTCTCCTCCTACCGAAGAGCCCAGCGGGGACCTTCTGCCAAGGCCGTGAAGTTGAAATCCATATGTGCCATTTGTAGAAGTCACCAATTGCTCATATTCGATTTCCTGACCTCAGTTATCCGTCCTCCTTCCAAGGGCCCCAACGCATCCATCTGCCGAGCCCGAAGGCTGAGCCTCAGCAGTGAATGTAGCTGTTCACATACCACCACTTGGCTGTAAAATCGTCGTGCCTGGTGGTGCTAAATACGGTCACCTGCCTCTCAGTTTGGAAGGGAGGCGACAAGGGTCTAATGAGACCAGAGCCCTTTGCAGCTTGTGCAGGTCCCAGGCAGCCCAGCTGGCCGCGAGATCCACCTCAGCGCGCTCTTTGGGCGCGCAGCAAAGGCAGGACAGGTCCTGTCATAGAACCATAGAATGGTTTAGGTTAGAAGGTGTGGGAAATTGGCTAGCTGAGAAGGGTAACATAGATATGATCCAGCTGGCCGAGCAGGAGCTTGGGAAACATCGGACCCAGTTCCTGTGATTGCTAATTGGCAAGGGCACCCTGACCCTGACTGCAGGTGCTAGACGGTGATGAGAAGCCTGTGATTACTCAGGCATGGGAAAAGAGGGAGTAGTTGCATGGGAGAAGAAGAGGTAGCTAGCCATAGATAAGGAGCTAAGGGCTGGAGTGATGAACCAATCAGAATGCTGTGTTGTTGGAACACATATAACTAATTATAGCAGAGTATATATGAAACATGTAGTAGCCAATTATAGTAGAGTAAACATGGAATATGTTTTAGCCCATTATAAAAGACAGCTGTGCTATTCAATAAACGAAGCTTGCTGATTGCTCATATTGAGTGTCCATGTCTTCCCCCGTCGGCCACTCTGGCTTCAACATACCACGTCCAGTTGGGTTTATGCCCAGAAAGTCATAGCCAAAGCCATTGATGTAGGCAGCACTTTCACCTCAGTCCATACTGTATAAAAAGACAACAGAGCAAGAAAGGTTTTCTGCATCCATTTTGCAGACCAAAGGCAGATACCTCTTCCCACCCATCCAAGCTCACACAAGAAGTCTGCAACAACTACCGGCTGACCTGCTGGAAAGCAGCTGTGAAGAGAGGGACCTGAAAGTCCTGGTGGACAAGTTGCCCATGAGCCAGTAATGTGCTCTTGTGGCGAAGGAGGCCAGTGGGAAAATTCCTTCTCAACACGAGGAAAAACTTCTTTCCTGTGAGGGTGGCAGAGCAGTGGCACAGGCTGCCCAGAGAGGTGGGGGACTCTCCCCCTCTGGAGCCATCCCAAACCCGCCTGGACGCCGTCCTGTGCCACTGCTGGAGGTGCCCCTGCTCTGGCGGGGGGTGGGATGGGGGAGCTCCAGAGGGCCCTTCCGACCCCTATCATTCTCCAAAATCTCCCCTCTTTCAGTTTAAAACCGTTACCCCTCATCCTATCGCTCCACTCCCTGATAAAAGAGTCCCTTCCTTGGTCGCTAGTACAGAGAAGACAATAAACAAAGCAGGGAAGTCTCCTAATATTTTTATTGTTCCTTAGATAACTGTGGATAGTACAAAGTTTTCCTCTTAAAAAAAATTAATTACCTTCACACTTCCATAAACAGGGCTTCCCATGGGAATCTGATGCCACAGAATTTCCACGGAAGCAATTTCCAACCACCGTAATGCTATGTAGATAGTATAACAGTAAGAGAATATTCTTGTAATTATCAACATGAAATTGGTTATCTGTGTATAAGGGTGAACACTGATCTTTTTTTTTCTTTTTAGAAACAAAACCATCATTTATTAATCCAAACTACATCATTGCATTTACAACATTCATTGCATAAACTGGACATACAAAGTTTTGCCACCTCTGGTAAATAACAGACATACATTATACAATATATTTGCTGAATACATAAGTTCAAACAATATGGGTACAACAACTTGTTCATAATACATACTTAAACCATCGTGTTTAATAGTTACTAAGACACAGATCCATGAGCTACTTCGGGTCTCAGCACAGTTAATCTAAGTGACAAGAACACAGTTGAGAGACAGTAGCTGCAATGGAAGGCGAAGAAAACTAACCTGTGATAGGTCTTGTTCAGACAGCGAGAGCTCCTCACGGGTCAGCTTGTTCTGCTTAGAAATACAAATCACACATCCATCACAGCTGACCGTGATGTCGGGAAAATGTCCATGCAACCCACACACAGAAGAGAGCGAGTCTCCCAAGGATAAACTTTCAACAGTCATTGCCTTACTTCTTTAGTACGTACTATAGGTTTGCTATCGGAACAGAAACAAAACAAAACCCCAAACTGAAGTGGTTCTTTAAGTGCAGTTCCAGCTGCAAGTACATGGTTATTCGTGAGTCTATAACACAGGGCCAGACTTCTAGAAATGTAGAGGTAATGCTGATCTGTCAGGTTGATGCTGAATAATCCTCCATGACGTTGGTCTTAATTTTGGCAGCTGTTTATATATTTACTTGTTTAAAGTGTGTTTCCTCGATATTAGGGTGTTTTTTAATTCCTTTCTCCCTTTCCCCCCCCCCGCTGTTTATATATTTACTTGTTTAAAGTGTGTTTCCTCGATATTAGGGTGTTTTTTAATTCCTTTCTCCCTTTTTCCCCCCCCCCTTTTTTTTTTTTCTCTAAATCAGTTTCTAAACAAGGATGGACTACAACTCGTCAGACCTGATGACGTGGAAGAGGGTGACATTGTAAAGTATTTGGTGCCCGTTGTTCCAGGCATAGAGGGCCCGATCCTTGGGGTTGTAGTCCAACATGGAAATGTGCGAGTACTTGTTTTGGAAGGGGATGTCGATGTACTCGTAGGTGGAGGCATTGGTCTGGTAGGCGTAGTGCACCTTGGTGCCTCCCGAGTAGCCGTTGGTGACGTAGAGCGTGCCGCAGATGATGAAGGCCTCCCCGGCGCTGCGTTTCGGGTAGCTGGTGTTCCAGGTCTGGAGGCTCTGCAGGGTGTTGGGGTCCAACTTGCTGATGACGATGTTGCCCGCGTTCTGGTTGGTGGCGTAGACGGCCCACAGCCCATTCTCGTCCACCATGAGGTCAATGTCCGAGTGGCCACCCCAGGCATAGTGGTACATGTTGTTGTAGCCGGCATAATCCAGGCTGCGAGTCTTGAGAATGGTCTCTGTTTTCAAGTCAAACCTGATAATTATGTGGCTTTGGTATTTATTGAAATAGATAGAGCCATTGTAGACCACTTGACCGGTGCCTGACCATGGGTGAGGGAGACGGTGAGAGGTAAAATTGTCAGTATTCATGAAATCTGCCATGGATTTATATTCACGGACGAAGCGGTTGTTGTGGTAGCTGTCCATGTACCAGACCTGGGCGAGCAACAGAAACACGTGGGGTTAGAAAACAGCAGAGACGCGGCTGAGCCCTTTGCGCATCCCCCTAGAAACTGAGCTGGGAGCGAAATCCAGAGCAAGGAATCCAACCTGCCGCAAAACGATGTGCCCAATGCCCACCACCTATGCCCAGAAATAAACCCGATTTTTGGAACCCCAAATCAGCCAAGAAATCAACTTGAATAGCAAAGCTTTCCTGGGGGGTAATCAGGTATTTCCCCGGGAACCTGGGAGCTTAAGGAGTTCCCTGGGAGTGCTGCGTGATGGACATCGTCCTTCCAGAGGGCAATTAACGTCTTTTCTCCGGCTAAACCCAACATACTAGGTTGATGCTGCTTTTGCTTCCCGTAAGCCCCACCACGGTAGCACTCAGTAAATGATACCAGCTGCTGTGCACAACTCCATTAATTTGGCATGCAGAAGCGATGGATGCAATCGCTCATTGTCAAGGAAATTCAGGCAAAGTCCATATTGGTTTAAAAATCATACACTTCTGCATCAAAGGCTGAAACCAAGGCCGCTAAAATACAAGAGACAAAGACATCAAAATCTTGCTATCGGTAGATGGGGGAGAGATTTTAGATCATCATTTAAGCGCCAGTTCACTAGGGACACTGTCTAGACTCCTGGAAAAAAAAAAAAGCTTTTGTCATACGAAACCAATTCCGAGGCAAATGACAAAGCTGTGCAGTTAGTATCAAGAAGAAATACCCAGCCGGGGAGTGACATCCTGTGTGCAGTCGCTGCCTAAAAATAAGATAGCTGCTTTCTGTAGGAACTCTTTAGGAAGGAGAAAAAGTAAATTAAACAGAAAGAGGGAAGCCTTAAAGGATGCAGATTTGGGTAATGCTGTCGTGCAAACTTCTTTTGCAAACCCCTTGCGAAACCTGACGGCGTCATCTCTGCAATACGGCCGTCTCCAGGGGCCCCGAGGAGAGCAGACCAACATTTCCACACGCTGTGTGCACGTAAATGGCTTTTGGCTGCTGTATTTGAAAGGCCGAATGGGGTCTGCAAAAACTTTGTAGGGAACTTCAGCCCTCCCTCGTTACCTCCCTGGAAACGCTGCAGAGGTGGGGAATGGACGTGTGGCAAACGGCCCTGATCTTCACACCTCCGCTGTGGGCGTGAGGATGGCTGCAAAAGCACCAGCAGAAAGGCTCACTTCATAATTAGGATCTTATTGGGGCTACAGGTGAAATTTTGTTTAATAACCGTAAAATACAGAGGTGTCATATTGGGAAACCAGTGCCAACCAGTTGGCTGCCGGAGGGTAAGAGCCCGACATCTCAAGTCACCGCAGCGTGTCCCTGCACCCATGGCAGAGAAGCACGGGCAGCCTGGGAGAGCTTCTGCTGTCAGACGTGGCGCTGGAGAGCATTCCTCACTTAATGAAAAGCCTGCGTTCAACTAAACCAGCTTGGGAAATTACAAAAAAACCCAAAACAAACCAAACCCAGAAAACTGATTGTCTCTCTGCTGCTCCCATTTCCCTATTTGGTATTAAAAAATTAGGCATGCCAATGCCTTGTGCTCTGTTCTTAGGGAGACAAAGAGAAGGCCAGAAGAGCAAAACCCCATATCATCACGCTGGCGCTGCAAGGTGGCAGGACCCAACGGCATTTCGTGCTTTGGAGAAGCAGAGATGGATGGATAGCAACGTTTCGTCGCACCGCCTGGCTTGGAGCAACCTTCTCCTGCCAATCCACACCGACCCCGGCGCTGAGCATCCACCCGCTGCCTCTCCGCCGGCTGCTCCTGCGGGACTCGCGGTTTCCCCCCATTGGGTTCAATGATTTCATGACACGAACAAATGACCATACGAACCACCCACCACCTCCTGGGGCTCGGCGACAAAAGATGGGTATGATAAACTGCCCATCTCTCCCCATCCCCATTTTCCCGCTCCACCGGGCAGCCAATGAAGTTCACTTAATTGCGTGTTTCTAATAAAATTCACGGTAGATTTATATATTATATACACATACACGCTCGTGAAGCTTGAGCTACAGTCCAGAAAAAACTGCTTGTCTACTCTCACGACAAAAATACACTGCAGAAAAAGGCATGGGTAATGAAAATATTAAAAAATACTGGTTTGAAACAAAACTCTCTGAAGACACAGAAAAATCTTTAGCATTTGATCAACAGCTTCAGCTGCAGCAGGCCTGACTCTTCCTTCGCAGATGTATAAATCATGTTACTGCCGAGGGATGCGGCAAACGCAGCCCAAAGGGGACAAGTCTGTCCCCTCTCTTGAGCAAAACAAGATCTGATATGGGTAAAGTCTTCCCGGCTCACTTCATAATTAGGATCTTATTGGGGCTATAGGTGAAATTTTGTTTAATAACCGTGAAATACGGAGGTGTTGTATTGGGAAACCAGTGCCAACCAGTTGGCTGCCGGAGGGAAATAGTCCGACATCTCAAGTCACCGCAGCATCACTGCTGCACATCCACCGGCGAATGGATCCATCCCCAGGGGTGGCTTCTCCAGAGCATCCCTCGTCCTCTCTCAGCTACAGAAAGCCGATCACGGGGCAAGGCTCTCAAAATAGCTGCCCTGATACAGCCCTCGCTGGTGCCTTCATCCTTTGATGAAGGATGCTGCGTGCAGGAGGGAATTACCATGCAGCCAAGCTCTGTGGTTTTTGTTTTGTTTTGCTGCCTGCAAATCCTCAGCAAACACTTGAGATATTTTCCATTCCATCATTCATGGGAAGCCTGGATTGATTTTCAGCCAGTTATTGGCCTCCTACCTCCTTGGGATCAAAATTGAATGGTCTGAATGGAAAAAAAAAAAAAAAGACCAAAACAAAGCAAAACAAATCTCTCTCTGGCTGCAGTCAGTTAATTCCTCACAACAATGAAGGTGGAGGATGGAGGACAAATGCAGTCAGATGACGTTATCGGAGGCTTCGGCAGCAGAAGAGCAGCAGGGACCGGGACCGCAGGTCCCTCTGCTCAGCCCCAGCTCCCTCCTGCCTGCCAAACCCAGATGAGAAACCCAATATTTGATTTTTCCTTCCCACGGGGGGCGCAGACCTCATGATGATACTTCTAAGACCGTGCATGCTCATCACTGCAGTGAGTTTCACCTGCCTTGTGAAGGGACCGCTGCACGGGGCTGCTCAGCCCCCTCCTCATCCTCCCCCCCCGCGGGATCCGCAGCCCCCTCCTGCTGCAGAGGCGGCCAGCAGAGCCCCGCGAGATGAATTAGGACCTTCCACAGGTTTCACAGGGCACAACCCAGGCTTTGGCGCTTGCATGTAATGAGTTTTCAATGACCTCAGCCACGGCGGCGGAGGTGGGAACCCCGGGACGAAGCTGTCGCGGTCTTACCTTGTTCTCTCCCTCGGGAGCGAGAGGGTCCGTCATCCACGATCCGAACCTGGACCCCGAGGTCTTAATTGTGATCGGGTCACTTATTCCCGTCAGCTTGCCACAAGCTGAAAAAGAGTGCAAGGCTGGTGAGCACATCAGACCACCGCTGCCGCCACCGCTCCTCCGGCCGTGGGTCTCCTCCAGCCAGCCCCGAAGCCCCGATGAGGGGCACCGGAGCCAGTCACCACCCACACCGCTCTGCCCACTGCCCTCCCCCGCTGATGGGCGGCTTTGGTTTTATTTAATTAGAGGTAATTAGGCCGAGAACAACTGTCAGATGCTTTTGTTTGCTTCATGCCTCTTAATAACAATTGTCCTTATCACGCTGCCCCCAAGAAAACAAGCTTTCCTGAACCAGCCGTGCTGCCAATGTCGCAGAATAGAAAATGAGAGGAGTTAGCCAGGGTCGAGCAGCCAGGTGGAGAAATTAGCTGAAGAGCTCTGCTCATTTCTGCTATAATAGAGTGGGTGCAGCCAAGATAAAAAGACAGACGTGTCTATTCCAGCCCTGCTGGAAACATGCATTTGTTACAGGTTATGCAAAGGAGAAAAAAAAAAAAAAAAGACAAGGTGCGAAATTATATGCAATATAAATCTCTTCCTTGCAAAGACCATTTACCGGCTTCGACCAGCCACCTTCTCTGTTCCCTATCGTGTCCGCACACTTAGGAGACACTAATGAATTCACCAGCCGCCTCCTTCGCCAGCTCCGGCCGAGGAACCCGACCGCAGCAGGGGGGGAGGCAGGAGGTGGGGTGTCCCGAGGGACCCTTGGGACCTGCCCCGGGAATCCTGCCCAGACTCAGCATCACCACAACAGGACTGGGCACCCGTGCAGCGCCACGAGCCAGGCTGTGAAGCATATTGAGGTGCTGCACGCTGTTGATTTCATGCCATTGAACTCAGTGGGCACGTCAGCATCTTTGCAAGCCCAGCGAAGTGCCTGGCTCTGGTTTTGAGCCCTAAACACGAGGTGAAGCGGTGGCAACTCTCCCCCCAACTCACTGCATCGACAGCTTGTTTCCCTTCCGTGGTTCTGTTCCCCGACACTGAATGCAGCATCTCTCTGGGGACGCCCGCGCATAGATGCCTCAGCGTCGAAGGGGCAGCCACACGCTGAGCTCCTATTTCCTACGACACCCCCAAGTTTCTGCAAAGCTGCCGTTCGGGTCTCCTGCAGCACCAGCATTTTAGCATACGTGCCCTAAGGAACGGCAGGTGAAGAGACGAAGATGCGGATGCGGTGTTGGATGGTCTTTAGCTATCGGAGCACTCAGTTAAAACCCGGACACATTCAGTGCAGCGCCGGTCCTGCAGCAGCATCTCCTGAGCAAGGCAAGGTAAGGTGAGCGGCACCAGGGGGAACAGCCGCAACCTGAAGTTCAGGAGGTGTTTCCTGACTTCTCCTTTTTGGCGTGGAAGCCTCGGGCAGGCCAGGGAAGGGGAAGGTGGCGGGAGCTGGGATGGAGCGGCTGCTCCGGGCGCTGGGTTTGCAGGCTGAGCTGCAGCTGCGTTGCGGTACGGATGGTCCCGCTGCTCAGCGAGGGGTACCCAGGGCCGGGACGGCAGGTGAGACACCGTGGAAGTGCTGCTGAAACATGTGTGGAGCTCTGCCAGCTCAAGACAAAGCCCTTTCTCTCAAAATTACCAAGTAGAATCATAGAAGGGTTTGGGTTGGAAGGGACCTTTAAAGTCCATCTAGTCCAACCCCCCTGCCATGAGCAGGGACATCTTCCCCTAGATCAGGGTGCTCAGAGCCCCGTCCAACCTGGCCTGGAACGTTTCCAGCATGGACACTCTGCAATATCTCTCACCTGCCCCTCTGTATTCCTGATTACTGTCATGGGACACATCCACCTACCTCTGAGCTCTGGGTAAAGGGGTCACCTTAGCCTGGGGCATAAAACAGATGAAGATATTTTTCATATGCACCAGCATGACATGGCCAAGGGGACCATCAGTCTTCCCACAGCCTTCAGATGCCAGGCCGATAGAGAGAGATCCCACCAACAAGCAGAGGGCTTTCCTGGCCTCACTGAAACACGACATACGGGAGTTTGTCTGATGCATTCAAAACCTCTCAGCTCAGGAGGAGAGCAAGGTATTGACGAAGGGATGCAACCGGTTAAAATAATAAATGCTTAACGTCTTGTAAATTCCCCTTGCAGAGGACCAGCCTTCCTCTCATCACAGATCTGCTCAGTGCTGCCTTCCATTATCGCAGCCCTACATTGCTGTCATTTTATCTCCTTCCTTCCATTTCCCTGGAGAGAAAGGTTGTATAAAAGCTCATTGATTAAAAAAAAAGTAAAAAAAAAAAAGCAGCAGCAGCTGATAAGGGTGAACTAGTGTTGTTTGCAAGTAGTGAGGCTACATCTCATACACATTTAGCTGGAGGCACATTGACAACAGCTCTTCAGCAATGCAAAAGGGTTGCTCTTACACAGGGCAAAGTGTTTTCTTTCTTGCTGTAAATCTATCGTAGGCACTCAGATGTGAGGGGGGAAGTTTAAAATGGATCCTTTAAGGCCCCTAGTTAGCTAGGTCCCTGCAGCTCTCATGGCTTACCACCCAGGGATGGACAACTGCAGCCTCTGCGATCCTCATTCATAGATTCACAGAATGGTTTAGGTTGGAAGGGACCTTGAAGATCATCCAGTCCCACCCCCTGCCCTGGGCAGGGACACCTCCCACCAGCCCAGGTTGCTCCAAGCCCCGTCCAACCTGGCCTTGAACACCTCCAGGGATGGGGCAGCCACAGCTTCTCGGGGTACCCTGCGCCAGGGGCTCACCTCCTGCACAGGGAAAAATTTCATCCTCATATCTAATCTAAATCTCCCTTCTTCCAGTTTGAAGCCATTCCCCCTCATCCTATCACTCCATGCCCTTGGAAAAAGTCCCTCCCCAGCTCTCCTGGAGCCCCTTTAGGCACTGGAAGGGGCTCTGAGGTCTCCCCTTTTTGGCCTTCTCTTCTCCAGGCTGAACCCCCGCAACTCCCCCAGCCTGTCCTCCCAGCAGAGGGGCTCCAGCCCTCCCAGCATCTTTGTGGCCCTCCCCTGGACCTGCCCCAACAGGTCGATGGCTTTCCTATGTTGGGGGCTCCAGAGCTGGATTCGCCCATCCTCGTGAGATCCACACCACACTCCGAACACCATCAACTTTCCTCCCCGCTTCTAGTAATCCCTAAAAGCACGAAGATCACGCTACTGGGGGCAGAGGGGACTCTTGTCTTCTACTGCTTCCCTTGGCCACGTCGCAGCTTGAATCAGACCAGTAGCTCACAAGACAGGATTCTCACAACTCCCTGTGCTCTGGCACGAAGTAGCAGCCTGCACAGCCTCGAAGCACCCACCAGTCCCACCAGCGCTCTCCTCTGCGGGTGAGGGGCCGAGCGTGGGGCGGTGGGTTGCGAGCAGAGCTGAGGCGGCAGCCCAAGACACCCAACGTCCAAGTCCTTCCTTGGTCAGACTCTACCGACTCGCGCAGGGGAGTTGTTAAGCCCTGGCTGTGATTGCCCCAAAGCCGCTGCTTGACAGCCCAGCAAAGCCCTCCTGCCCTGAGCAGCCCAGCACCCATGGGTGCTGAGTCTTTGGCAGCAAAGCTGCCCTGCCCTTGGGATGGCAGGAGCACGGGATGCTACGGGCACTTCCAGTCACTCCGGGACAAACGTACAACAGGAGAACATGACCCAGTGCTCAGCCATGAGTCCACGACACAGGGTAAGCCTCTGAGGAGCAGCATTTGGGGCAGGCACAGAGGGTCTGCTGTCACTCCAGTTTCCCCAGCACTAAGCGGGCTCCTGGACCTGTGGTCCGTGGGCGCTGGTGTGTCCCTGTTCCTGGAAAACAGCACAAATCAGCCTCTTCCCGAGCGACCCTCCAGGCTGCCCCGGCCAACCGCCTCCAGAGCTCAGCAGATCAGCAACGACACACCACTTCCACACAGGCAGCCCCTTCCTCCGACCGCCCCAGGAATTTTCCAGCAGGAGAAGACAGGCTTTCCTCCAGCCAGTTAAAACGACTGCTACCATCCTCCCAGGATACTAACACCCCCGCTCCATATTTCTCCTAAGATCCAGCCCACAAGCGATGTTTAGCAGCTCGGCAGCAATTTATCCACCAACGCAACCAACCAACTGGTTGACACCAGTACCGTCTCCTTCTGGACTCAGTGGTTCTGCTGGGGCTGCTGCTGCTACAGCCCAGCACCAGCCCTGCTGGGGCTCCCCATAAAGCCCAGAGCTCACCCCAGTCCCAGCCCTCCGCAGCGGGGATGGGGCTGCAGCGGTTGGGTTGTGTCCTACCCTCGCCTCTGCCGCCCGGCCAGGAGACACCCTTCCATCCCAAAAACGTCTGGGACGGGCCAGCAGGGCTCTGTCCCCATCTCTGCGCGAGGATTGCGGGCTGGGATTTTTTGCAAGAGTCAGGGAAAGCTCGTTCTGTCAGGCAAACACGAGCCTGCGGAGCACAACCGAGTTAAATTCCCCCCTCGACTCAAGCAGCGACAACCTCCCCGCTCCTCCAAGGCTCCTCTTAGGAACATTAATGGAAACGTTAAAATCCCTGTATAAATAGTGATCTTTAAGAGTGTAAACAGAATAACAGATTGAACGTGCCATTATTGATTTCTTTTCTCCCTTCACACACACGCCAGGGTCAGGAAGTGTTTTCACTATTGATCCATCAGTAATGCTTAGGAAACCCAAAATGCAAAACAAGACCTTGTCTAAGGAAAATGCTGCTGCGCTGTCGAGCATCAGTGCTTCCCGGAGGATGGGGAGAGGTGACGAGGAACGAGGACGGGAACCCGGCGCATCCCCTTCCCTTGTCCCGTGCCTATTGCAGCGGATCCCCGATGCTGCTCTGGGCGCTCTAAGCCGCATCCCGAGCTGGAGCAGGCGAGCAGCAGTGCTGGCCCGCGCGGGAGCAAATCTAAGCTAAAACGTGCTACTTGAAGCATCAGTGAATCCCTCTGAGCAGATAATTTGCAGCAAAGAGCAATCCTCAGCAAACAGGGCCTCATCGGGCGGCAGCAGAGTGTCTGTAAGGTTGTTATCTGAATTTAACTCAATTAACTACCATTTTCACTGGTTTACACTCCGGAGCGATAAACAACATTGGAAATTCAATCTGTGCTGTTTGCTGCTAAGTGACCGAATAAATCACCCTCCTGGGCCAGCAGCAAACCCTCTCGGGCCAACCCTTGCGAGACTCAGCGTCCACCTCCACCGAGCACCCAGGGGTGCTGCAACGCCCCAAGGCAGACAACCTGCCCTGACCCCATGGTCACGGAGAGAGCAAGAGGAGAAAGACGGGGCACAGCCAAAAACCCCAAATAAAGCCTCAAAAAGATAAAAAAGAAAAAAACAAAAGTTTCTAGAAAACGTTGCGTGCGAGAGCGTGCCATCCTAGCTGCCTCAGTCAGTCTTACCTGGGCTACTGCCTTGGGTGGATGTCCCAGCTGGAGGACCTGAGCGTGAGGGGGATGTAATGAGCCAGGACATGGCCCAGAGCAGAAGGGGTCAATGGTCTAAGAACAAACTCTTTTTCTGGAGTCCTCAATGGTTTGGGAGTTACTACCTAAAGTCTGCCCAGGGTCTGCAGGAGGATCACCCCAGCTTCCCTGGCTCTGGTAGATCAGCCTGGGCTGGGCAGCTCCACTGAGGCCGGCTGGAGAGGGGCTGTGGGGTCCAGGATGGTTTTGTTTACAGAACTAACCCTGGGAAAGTACTTCTACAGCCCAGACTCAAATCCCTGATCCTGCCGCTGTTCCCTCTCCTTATTACCCATAGCTCCTCCTCGTCTTCAAGAGATGGGCTGAAGGCTACAGATGCAGCAAGTGGATCATAGAATGGTTTAGGTTGGAAGGGACCTTGAAGATCACCCAGTGCCACCCCCTGCCCTGGGCAGAGACACCTCCCACCAGCCCAGGTTGCTCCAAACCCCGTCCAACCCGGCCTTGAACACCTCCAGGGATGGGGCAGCCACAGCTTCTCGGGGCAACCTGCCCCAGGGGCTCACCACCCTCAGAGTGAAAAATTTCTTCCTGATATCTCATCTAAATCTCCCCTCTTCCAGTTTGAAGCCATTCCCCCTCGTCCTATCACTCCATGCCCTTGGAAAAAGTCCCTCCCCAGCTCTTCTGGAGCCCCTTTAGGCACTGGAAGGGGCTCTGAGGTCTCCCCGGAGCCTTCTCTTCTCCAGGCTGACCCCCCCCAACTCTCCCAGCCTGTCCTCAGAGGAGACCAGATCCCTCCTCTCATCTCACCCACCTCTGTCTTTGGCAGGGAGGAATGAGAAAAGCTATTCGCAGGGCAGAGCCGCCCTGTGCTGGTGGTGTGGGGCTGATGGGGGGTTTGCTATGTGACCTTGGCATGTTCTCCATCCCTTCTTATCTTACCCACTGCAGGACTGTCATTCCTGAGGTGTCTGTATGTTCCCCACGAGATAACACTCCAGGTATTAGGTATTGCTAACGCAGAAAGCACCAAGTCATTATAACCTCGATCATTTGTGTCCCCATTAAGCTTTCAGGGTGAAATTCAAATGGGTGAGGATGAGGAAGGTCTGCACTTCCCCGCCGTCCCCCAACCCCGCTGCCTTCCCCCTGACCACCACGGGCCGAGGAGAGGGACCGCAGACACGGCGCAGGAAGGGACAGCACCGCTCGCCTCCGCCTGTTCTGCCCCCAAACCAAACCTGGGCACATCAGCGCTCGTTAATAAATGCTATATAAATAAATGCCCTCTCACCCAGGCCGGGGGTTATACCCGCTGCCCGGGGGGATCTCAGCCCGTGGCTCGCTGCACGCTCCTACTTCAGATACCTCTGAGCATCCAGGCTTACACGGAAATGCACTTTCCTCTCCCAGATTTCGAGCGAGAGGGAGCTCGTAAGGGACGTACAAGGTAGGAGAGGAGAGGGTGGAAGCGCAGGGCTGCTTACAGAAGTGAGGAGGCGTCTAGAAAGAAGCAAAAGCAATCCCAGCGGCAGAGACAAGAGAGAAACAAAGCGTTACCTTGCCAAGGGTCTAAAGTGCTCAGAAGAGATCTGATCTTCCATGAAGTTACCTGAGAGTGTAATTTCATATATGCTACCAAAATAGACTGCAGAGCAGTTAATGTGTTTAGATTATCTAAATTGCTTAACAAGAAAGTCAATAACGTAAGTAGAAATTAAATCAAGCCGGAGCTCGGGCAGCGAACGTTGGGGAGATTCCCCACAGCTGCAGGTGGCAGCGCCCTTCTCCCCCCCTCCTCCACCCCCATTTTGGGGTCAGACACCGGGTTTGGCTACAGCCGTGTCTCCCCACGGTAAACCCACAGGCTTCAGTCAATTAATACTCTCTGAACGAGATTACAGATGAATCTCTCGGGGGTTTTAGCCTTGCGGGTGGATGGCCGTGATGGAAGGGGCTCCCGGCTCCCTGCGGGAACGGGAGAGATGGGGAAGATGCATATCCTGCACATGGCACAGTCCGGACCGAACCGCCAACCCGCACCAGCTACATCATGCTCTTCTCAGCCGGGACTGGCAAGATGCAAAAGGAAAGGAAAAAAAAAAAGGGAAACCGAGTCACAGCCTGCACACACACACACACACACACACGCACACACTACTTCAAGCGGTGCGCGGAGACCTTTGCCGGTGCGCCAGGTCCAGTCAGCAACGAGATCGGACAGGGATGCACAAGCGCAATGGGTGCATGTGTTTGCTTTGCATAAGCGCGATGCGCAGCAGGCCACGCGTTCACCGCATTCCACCGCCCGCTTATGCAAACGCTGCCAAAAGTCACATGCCTCGTCAAGGGCCCGATCCTGAAGCACTTACGCCATGAGCAACATCGGTCGTGCGAGTAATCCTCGGCAGGAGTACTCCCAAGACTGATGTTACTCATAGCACAACTATTTACAGGATCGCCCGTGGCCGTGCCAGCCCGTCCCTTGCAGCCAGGCCAGGCACAGGGAGATGTCCAGTCCAGCATCTCTGCCTCCGGGCGGGATGCGTGCTTTAACATCGATGGTGTTGAGCCAGTGCCACCATGTCGTTCTGAGCCTACCTAATTTTTGCATGCATGCACGAAGCCTTTCTTCAAGATTTGACACTCTGTTCTGAAGCTCTTCGTAGTCATAGGCGCCAATCTCTTCCTGGAGTTCGTTTAGAACTGACGTCAGATTCTGGACCTCCTCTTTAAACTGCAATACCAATTTTGCATCGGCTTTGTACTCTTCCAACACTGGTATCAAAGGCCTAAGTTCCTCCATTTTCGCTTTTATCGCCTGCAAGGTTAAAATAAGCTTGGTTCAGTGCTATGCGTGCAAAAATCTGCAACACTCTGCCTTGACCTGGTTGCTTCCTACGTGAGTGCAATGTTCATATCCCACAATTATTATCAATTAAATTATTTTAATTATTATTTTGGTCCAAATGATGTATTGGAAAGAACATATTAAACAGGCTGCAGAACACCAAAATATTTGGGAAAGGCCTTTATTTGTCATTTTTAGAATGCAACATCTTAGGGTTACATGCTTCAGATCACATACACAAAGAGTTCTTTTTTTTTTTTTTTCTTTCCAAAAAATAAAATAAAATAATATATATATGCATTGACAAGGGTTTCAAACTATTCATGAAATGCATCTACAATTGCATGCAAAGGAAGATCTCGGTTGTGTGGTTCAAGGTTCCTTAGTGAGATATGGTGCTAATTTGGAAAATAATCAAAAAAATAAATGCATGGTGCAAAATGCTCTGTGGCCCTCTTTTCATGGTTACATGGGAGTGAACTGCTTCTTCAGTCACTGCAGCATTGAAAAAACTTGCTTTTAAGTTAGCCCTGTAAGCAAGAAAATGAAATACTGTTGAGGATCTAGCTCGCTAACCTGCCTTATATAGATAGCCATTCATAGACAAATACTCTTACGGAACTACAGAGAAAAAAAAAAAAAAAGAAACCAACACAAAAGCTCCAAACCACTCACATTTTAATGCTGGCATTAGCAGAAACAAAATGCTGTGGCTGTTATTTAAAATGGTGCTTTGGCAGCAAATTAGACAAAAACTCCTTACTGTTTTTAGGCATGCTATAAAGAACATAAAAATCAAAGTCATTATCAAATTTATTTTGCAGAAACGAAGACTTTTTTTTTTTTTTAAATGAAATGAAGGCCTCGTTTAAAGGCACGGTATGCAGCATTTTGTTGAAGGTGCTTTGCTCCAGCAGCTAATGAGTAGACATAAATATGCATGCACCTACCCGTTAATGAAGCGTGTTAGTATACCCAGTATACCTGGTGCTGCTTAAACTACTGCGCGGTGGCCAAGTCCCCAGCGCTCGGGGCTGTGACATCTGGCTGGCTGCCGAAGCAGCTCGGGGGTGAACGGGATCAGAAATTGGTCCTCAGCCTCATCTCTTTCCTTCCCATCCCCTCCTCCTTCAGCCGAGAGGTTTTCCCTCCTGCCGTTTGCACGTGGGCAATGTATTTACTGTCTTACTTACTCGCCTTTCCCAGTGCAAGCTCCCTGGCAGGGAATGGGGAGGATTAAACTCAGCAGAATGGAGGGGGGGTGGGTGGGAAAAAAAGAAGGAAAAAGAAAGAGGAACAACAACAAAAAAAAAACCAACTCATGCTTAAATCAGAAAGACGGTCTTTACATCCAGACTGCAGAGCTAAATTTAGGGTCCCTTTCCAGAGACAGGGAATGGTGGAGCGGGTGAAAAGTTTTAAGAACCTTCTTCCCGGCTGTGTATGATGTAATCTTGGTATTTCAGGATTGAATTTACCAATTAATAGAGTCTGCTTTTAAACACCAGCCAGCTGGGCAGCTGCCTGAGAGCCAGGATGGGAATCAGCTGGGTGGCGGATCAGAAACGTTGCCAGGTTTCACTAGAAATCTTCTCAATTTGTTTCTTTATCTCTATTAATCCAAAGCATTACTAAAATTTAAGATTCCAGCTATTGCTGACAGCCTCTTTTTGGCAATTGCATTTGTTCTCAATCATATGCTTGAAAGTTTGACCATTGCTGGCGATGAGAGCGTCACTGAAAAGGCTGACGTCTACTTCGCGTTTGTCCAACACCGGGACAAAACAGCTCCGACCCATGAGAAGGTGTGAGCTCTGCTGCCAACACCATCGCTTCAAAACTGGACACCGGCACGTCCTTGAGATGTGCCGTTCGCCACCCTGAGCACAGCTGCAATAGTCATACTTTTGGGTTTGTTTTCTTTTTGGGGAGGGGGGGGTGTTGATTTGTTTGATCGCTCGCCCTGTTGCTACAACCAGCCCGCGGAGGGCAGCGATTTGGTGACGGCCCGTTGTGGTGCGCCACGTGTTGTGGAAATAGGAAGGGAGTCCCAGCTCTTGGGTTTTCCCAAGAAAATCGGGTCCCGGGCACGGCGCGGGGAAAGGCTGCCCGGCCGTGGAAGGGAATTCGGCTGGCCCTGAGCTCAGCTGCCCCGGGGTCTCCCTGCAGACCCCCCCTCTCCGGGAGAAATCCTCCGCTGCCCTGTTTGGGGCACCCAGGCGGTTCGTCGGTACGGGAACGCGGAGATTTATGCTTTTACCCTACGGAAAAATGTACTGGGGCTGAGGACGCGATGCCGCCGCCTGGATCCGGGCGGCCGCCAGCGCCGGGTACGACCGGACCAAGGGCTACGGGAGCCTCCGGGGACCGGGGCCACGCTCCCGTGCGCACCCCGCTAAATCCCCGGGCGCAGCTTCGTTAGCAGTTTGGATAGCGGACATACCTTAAACTGCCTTGCCAGGTGCTGCTTGTGGCTTTCTTCCACTTGCTTAAATTTGGATTCCAGTCCCCTCATCTGGTTTTCCATCTTCTCGACGTACTGTAGGTCTCTCTGAGTCCGCCTGTCCAACACCTCTATCGACTGGGACATGTTTTGCACCTGCCAAACGAGAAGGGACTCATTAAGAAGGTGTTTCCCCCGCAGCCAGGCAGCCCCGCGCGCACCCCCACGCCGGGCGCTGACCTTTTCCTACCGAGTCAGCAAAGCTTAAAGGGTAACCAGCCTATGCATTATTTACGAGTTAATCAACAGTATTATGACCCTCGTGCTCGAAAACAGAGCAAATTGGTTTCATAAACATTTATTCTGCCGCGCTGCGGAGAATAATTTAACAATCACACATGCAAATAAGGGTAGTAGTCAAGGCTAAAACGCATCGCTCTCGACGGCCTCTTTGAGAGGTTGGGACGGCACCCGCCGCCGCGCCAGGAGAGGCTCTTCGCTGAGCAGAAGCACATCTGACTATGAGAAACGCTTCTGCTGAGGTGCACGTTATCATTTCTTCGCGTACGCAAGCGACACTTACTGATTGCCTAAGTGCAAACTTTACTCCCAGCCAGTAAAAACTTCATTATCCAAACAGCCCTACTGTTTATGCAGCATCTGCCACAACAAACCCAGCTGCAGGCGAGGCCATCCCGAAGCCGGGAGGTACCACGGGGGCCGAGGCGTGCGTGCCCTGGCCCCGCTGCTGCCCGCCCGCTCGGGCGGTTGCGCCGCGTCAGCATCTTTGCTAGCCGACCGATGCCGCATCCCCGCGGCTCCCCGCGCGGCGCCCATCTGGCCCTGCCGAAGGAATGATGCAAGAAGGTTGGCCGGGCTCGTCGTGAGAAAAAAAAGAGCTGCTTGTGCTGAAGGTGTAAGGAGAGGAGGGAAACGACAGCTAGGCTGCCCCGATTTTGAAGGCTGGCTGCCATCTGAGTGATTAGGATATTCCCTTCTCTCATTTTTCGGGCTGGGAGAGAAGGTAAATGAAGCTCTGGCTTAGGCAGGCACCTGAGCACCGACTCAGCAGTGAGCACTGGGGGCAGTGTAAAGTCTTTGCATCAGGGACGGTTGTGTTTGTCCATTCCAGGGCTCAGCCCACGACTGGTGCTCCCGCCACGGCCACCTTACCCGCAGCAATACGGCTGTGGCCACGGGTAGGGATGACGCCTGCGTTGAACATGAATCAGGCATCCGCGCGCGCGCTGCTGCGTCAAGGGCCCTAACTAAAGGCATCCTGGTTCAAGTCTCTTCCTCTGTGGGCGTCTGAGCAAAACCCAAATGCGAGCCAGCACCGGCTCTGCGGATCTGCTCCCAGACACTTCCCGGAGCCCGCGCTGCCACGTCTGCTCCCGTCTCCGTCCCCACCAAAGCCAAGGCTGAGACGGAGAAAGAAGGGCGCAAGTGCAATATCGCCTCCAGCAAATCACGCTGGGCTGCTGCGACTTACCTCGAGTGACAGAGCGAGGGGACGGCGGGACACCCGCCCGCAGCCGGGTCTCGGGGACTACTCGCTGAAAGCAGCATAGGTCAAATGCCAACTTTGGTGTCTGCATCTCTGAAGGGATCAAAATGCCCGTTGCTCATGCATGATGACAAGAAAACTATTACAGGGAACTATTAAAAATGTATGGACAACCTACATTTCAAAGGCCAACAGCAAGGAAACATTTTGTACAACCGGTACGACTGCTCCGGGGGTCTAATGGTCTTCCTCAGCAAAGGTGAAGCTATTTTCAGGCTCTGAGTCCCAACACATCGCTCAGAGATGAACCAGCACCCATCCTGCCAACCCCCGAGGACCTGCTCGGGGAGGTGCGGGGAGCAAGGAAGAGCAGAACAAGACCCTCGTGGTTTGAGGAGGAAAAGAGCAAACCTGAGCCCACGTGGCTCCCGCTTAGCCGTGCCTCCCCCGGGGTACGTGAGCTCTCAGCGGATGCGGCTGGGTGCTAATTTACCTGGGTTGGATGTGGAGGAGTTTGAAGACCTCTCACCACCCTGAGGAAGGACAAGAGAAGCCTTAGATGAGCATGACTGGTCTGAAGATACTTTTATTCTGGTAATCCAGTCTATCCTCCTTTGAGTCAAGCTGTATCGACAGAGCAGAGTTGTTCCAACGGGCTGGAATAGGAATGACTTGTAGGGATCGTACAAAATTGATCTCATTTTTTTCCACCGCTGCCTACCCCCAATTAAAAGCCAAGCTGGAAGTAATCAGAAAAGACCGTTTTTGTAATGATATGCTGATAGGTGACCCTGCAGGGGCTGAGCGAGGCTTCGGGGGGGTCCTTACGCTGCCTCGTGGACGGTGGGGAGGGAGAGACAGACTCCACGAGGAAATGAATCACAGCATCTCGCTCCGGCTTCTGCTCTGAATCACCGCTGGAGGAGTCTGCCTCTCCCCTGACTGCAGAGGAAAATAGCCTCCTCACATCGCTCTAAACTGAGATGCCTAAAATTAGCCGCTGTGCTATTTCGGGGATCTGTTTTACCAGTCCAGACTCTCGTTATTTGTTGCCCATATTGTTTTCAACCAGGCAAGGTTCCATCCAGACTTGTAAAAAAAATCACTCTCCATCATTCCTGATCTCTGCGTGCTTCATCAGCTGAAGATCTACTTGTTTTCCTTCATTAGCATATTAAGCCCTTGATCCAGCAAAGTACTTTGGCACATGATTAGATTTCAATGAGACTGTTCATAGCTTAAACTTAAGCATGTACATAAGTGCTCTAATGAACTGAGACCGAAGGATACTGTCTCTCGAATTCCCTCAGCTTCATCCATTAACCGCTATCCTCAAACATCAGCTCAAATGCTTTTCGCCTCCATCGGTGGAGCATGCACTCTCAACATGAAACCTCATTTTCCATCAAGCTAATGGGAGAGATACCTGCGATTGTCTTGGGGAAAAGAGTTAATTTTAGCATTTGAAATAGAAAATTGATACAAATGCAACTTCCAGTGCTGTTCTCATCGTCTTGTTTGACACCAAGTTGTTTCAGAGTTCAACCAGAGTAACGGAGAGTCAACATTGGCCTGATGACCCCAGTGAGATTTCTCTGGCCAAAGCCATGGTTCAAACCCTGCTCAAGCTTCCCTGTGGATCAGCCTTTCATGCCAGCTCAGAAAGAGCTGTTCTAAGATCATCTTTGGGGTCTGAACTAGGATGAATCTTTAGCTTTTGGTAGCCAGACAAACCGGTGGAGCAATAGCATGAGGTATCTTGAGGGAGATTTTCACCGTCTACCAGAAGAATTAGCAGAGATGGCCGCAGCCAATGGACCAGGACATAAGAAGTTCATCTTATAAGGACTGTAGAAGGCAAAGTGAAGGTTGAGAAGAGATGTCACTGTCCTCCCTATGTACACCTCGGAGTGAATATCAAAGGAACAGAAAGAACTGTTTAATCTGGAAATCAGTGCTGGCAAAGAATAAGAATTGGCAGGAAACCAAAAACGGTTTAACCATCAGAGGAGGAAGTCCTCCCAGATAACAGGGCCAAAAAAAAAAAAAAAATTCCGTTTGAAGATAAAACATAATCTGTTTATGAACAGGATTTAGGTGATGTCTTGGTCTGGATTCAGTCCAAGATCTGGACTCAGCACCTGACACATATAAGGCTGGAAGGACTCCGTGTACTCCAGCCAAAGATGAGCTCAGACACCTCGGTGTCAAAACAGGGGCTGAACAGTTTGTGCGGTGGCGAGCAGACCGGGCTCACCTTACCTCGCTCAACGTCTGCTCTTGAAGCTGACGGGGTGCCCAGGACTCACTCGCAAGCAGGATGAACTGCAGTTTCTACGCATATGCCCGTGCCCGCGTGTTGAGGGCAGATGGGGTCTTGGCAGCTTTGAACCTCAAAGTACGTTCTGCTGCTGAAGCCCCTGTGCAGAGATTTTCACCGAAGATGCTGTCCTTGGTTTGTGTACACACATATACGCACACACACGCACAAATGCAGCTTATTTCTTGCCCGTAAAAGAAATGCCTTATTATTTCCATAGGTGACTGTCAGGTGTCCTCCTTTGAAAATCCAAACACAATCACCTCTTTGGCACGTTACACTGCTTCATCTGCGGGCAGAGAGAAATCGGGAGATGCGAGTTTTCCCACCGCAAAGCTAGAGTTAAAATGTCAGATGAGGGAAGGAGTTTTCGGGTTTGAAATCCTTCCTGGGAAGCTGGAAGCTCTTCTCTGCAGTTGCATTTTCCTATAGATGTCTGGCACTAAGAGCCTATTCTTTATTTTGGGGGTTTCATATAGGTTAGCGTAGGAGTGAGATGCAGACAGATTAGCAGGCAGGTAACATATCCCCAGAACACATGCCTTGAAATACCGCTCCTCCCTCACTTTATTCATTGGCAGCCGGAGAGCTGCATAAGGCAAAAAAAAAAAATAATCACTGAGCACTTACACCCTCCGCACGGGAACTGCTGTTATCCCAGGTCTCACATGCCCCACTCGCCTGTCCATTAGCAGAGGGCATTGGGTCAAATCCTGCTTGTTTAATGCATACGAGCAGTTCTGGGAACACGACGGCTCTCGGACGCCCATGTCAGCTGCTAATACAACGCGCGCTGCCTCTTAGGCAAATGTGCTGTTGGACCGATTGCTGTTACTGCTTAGAGAAATAAAAGCTTGAGTGGGATTATTTTTAGAAGCCTCTGACATACCAAAGAAGTGTTTTAGGGCTAAATGTTTCCTGCCTCCCTTTATTGTCCTTATCACATAGGAAAATCAGTTAAGTGTAGGTTTAATATTATTATGAGTGACTAATACATCAACTTCCTGATAGCAGCAGGATAAAAATTATTTTGCCATGCACAACACATGCCAACATAGCATTAGGGTATGAGGGATAATTACATATCCAGCACAGGAATCCACTTATATTTTAAAGAGAAGAACACCATTTCACATGAAACAGCATTTCTTCAATGAAATCTATTATCTGGAAAATTTCTTGTTATCAGGAATGTTTCCCTAATGAGATTCTTTGATCTCTTCGGACAGCAGACTATTAAAAACTAATCAAGTGGATGTCAACATTAGAAAGAAAACCACTAACTGTCATTTCTGTGCTATTTGATGTTGACAGCTTGTACTGTTTTACTCGACCTTTTTAATATCAGCTTGGCTAGGAATGCATGGGCTTTGGCTTTTTAATTCTATCTTCTCTCATCTTGTCGAGGCTCATCCTTTGAAACCGCTTGTGTTAACGTAATGAAAAAAAATGAGTAAATTACATCTTTTTTTTTTTTTTTTTTAGCTACGTGGTTCAATATTTTCACTTTGATCTCAGCAGTTTTATCCTGACCTTAGGCCGTGGTCCCTCTTCCTCTATGCCTCAGAAACACTTAAGAGATTTATCCTCCCAACCGCGGCTGATGATTCCCCACTACACGCATGGGGACAGCTATGGCACGGGAGGGCTGGCCAAGGGCTCCGTCTTCCCTGGAAACCAAGGCTCGGCCCAACTCGCTCGATTTTTTACCCCGAACGTCATGCCAAACCAAACCACCTTTCCCAAAAGGGGTCAACCGTTACCTTTTCTAATAGTTGTCTCAGCTGCTTTGTCCTGGCATCACGCGAGCACATCGTCTGTTGAGGTGCCACCACTGTGCATATACAACGTCCCTCGCTATCTTGGGCAGAGCTGTAGACCTGCCAGCTTTCCTCTGGGTTGGTTGGCAACACCTAATTAACACGGGGAAAGAGGGGTTAAGTAGACGGGGGGGGAGGGTGGGAGGTGACTGGGGCCGAGCGGAGGAAGCAGGATGGAGGTGGCGGATACTGGAGCTGTGCTGGAGGGGGAGGGAGGCTCCTCCGAGGGCCCAGCTGGCAAAAATCACTTGTAATGCAAAAATATGGATCGGGGACAAATAAAAGAAAGGTCTGAAAAGGAGAGCAAGAGCTGAAGTGAGAAGGCAACGGGAACGGGAATGCACGGACGCGAGGACAGCCAGGCAGCGGCGAGGGCTGTCGCGTGCTGTAAGGCACCGAGCGCATCGGGGTGGGGAACCCGCTGCCCGGCCCTCCTTACAAAGCACTTGACTTCTCCTTGACAGCGTGAGAAGGATGTGTCCGAGCTACCCGTGAGGATACGGTGTCCTGGCTGAGGCTCGCTCCCCACTCTGCTCTCTCGCTCCACGGTACTTCTCTCACTCCCCGGTACTTCTCCCGCTCCCACGTAATTCTCTCGCTCCTCGTACTTTTATCTCGCTCCCTGTACTTCTCTCCTCCCCGTAGTTCTCTCCCCAAGAGGGGCTGCGGCACGGAGGGTACGACCGGTGCCTCCGGCCGAGTTTCCAGGACACACAGCAGAGAGCAAGCCCGGCCACAAACACAGCACCTTCCCCAGCCCCCCTCCGGCCCCTCGTGCTCTCCAAACCTCTCTGATCTTAATTTGCCTTTGATCTCTCCGTACTTCGCGAAACACATTATTTAATCACAATTTGTCCTCCGGTCTCTTTGAAAGTACCACCGTTTTGCCAACCAGAAGGGAAATGTTCCTTCTACTCTTTCAATCTATTACAGATAACCTTGCAAACACCCGCGTTGACAGACGCGCGCTGCCAGAGAGGGCTAAGCAGGCAGACCGAAAATGTGATTCTCTAGCTACAACAACCAGAAAAAGAAAATAATAAATGGGTCTCATAATCCCCAGTAACAATGAAAAAGAAAAAAAATCCCAGTTTCATTCACAATCAGCAGAACCACTACACGAAATACTCGTCTGGAAACACCAGAGCTGTATTCCGTTCGCTCTTTTCGGAGGCACAAGCATGCAGCCCGGAGGCGAAAGGTGCCCGTTTTTCCCTGCTAAGGGGAGACAGACGGAAGGATTGTATCTCTCAGCCATTTCCAAAGTGGCAAACCCGGGCAGCCGTACCAGCCCTCCAGCAAAACGGGGACGGGAAACATATGGCACAACCAAAATATACCGCAACTTCTCCAATGCGTTTCCCATCCCATTAACGACTATTGATTAAAGGCAGGGAGGCGAAGGAGATCGTGGGGGAGTCCCACTTGCTGTCCCAATCCGCTTCGCCCGGCGACACCAAAGCAGGAAACTCTGCCACCCTTTGGTTTAAAGGTA